GGGCTGAGGGAACCCTGCGTCCCCCCCACCCCCCATGCACAAATTTTGTGCACTGGGCCTCTAGTCTATACTAATAAAAGGGTAATATGCTAATTAGACCAGACATCTTCCAGACATCCTTCCAGACAAAGCCACGGTGGTGGGGGCCGAAGCAGAGGTGGTTAGGGGCAATGAGGCCGGCAGGGGAGGGCAGTTAGGGGTGATCAGGCAACAGGGGAGGGCAGTTGGGGAGTGATCAGGCTGGCAGGGGAGCAGTTAGGGAGCGATCAGGCTGGCAGGCAGAGGCGGTTAGGGAGCAATCAGGCAGATGAGCAGTTAGGAGCCAACGGTCCTGGATTGCAAGAGGGATATCCAACTGCCCTGTGGGATTGGGCTTAAACTGCCAGTCGGGCATCCCCTGAGGGGTCCCGGATTGGAGAGGGTACAGGCCGGGCTGAGGGACTGCCCTCCGCCCCCCCTGCACAAATTTCATGCACCGGGCCTCTAGTTTAATAATAAAACAGAATTGTCACTAGAGTCAGACAACCTGATTTCTAATTCTCGCATTTTCCTTGTGACCTTGTAAGATGAACTTAACTTTTGTAGGCATTACATAGATGGTATAAGGTTAATGATTGTGGAATGATTAAAATAATTTTCATAATAGCTTTAGTCATTTTCACTGAATTAAATACTACAATAACACTTATGAAAAGAAGTAGGGTCAAACCACAGTATTCAGTATATGAAACAACAAAACCCCAAATGTAAATAATCAGTTTTTGAAAAATTAAGTCTGTTTTATTCCAATTTTTCTCATTAACCATGGACTTGTTTTCTTTCTAGAGTTGTCTAAATCACACTCCAATCTACTTAATGGACATATAATTTTACTATGTTAACAGAAGTCTTCATTTGCTTCATTTAGATCTCTTATTAACAAGGAGTTTGGAACTAGAGGTTTAGAAGCCCAGATAATTGAACATGGAAGTAACAATTTATATGGTAGTATTGAATGTTATTATTTTTTATTGTTGATACATATCAATAATAATTACCTCTTATATCACCTAAAAATACCTTTTGTTACAATTATATTTTCTTCTTCATGATTTTCTAAAAATGATTTTTACTTTAGGAGAAGAAAATCGGTAATTTAAAATTCCATTTTGCACTTATGTCAGTGATGGTGAACCTTTTGAGCTCGGCATGTCAGCATTTTGAAAAACCCTAACTTAACTCTGGTGCCGTATCACATATAGAAATTTTTTCATATTTGCAACCATAGTAAAACAAAGATTTATATTTTTGATATTTATTTTATATATTTAAATGCCATTTAACAAAGAAAAATCAAGCAAAAAAATGAGTTCACATGTCACCTCTGACACGCATGTCATAGGTTCGCCATCACTGACTTATGTAGTACACTTTACACTCCAAATAATTTCGGAGGACATTTTGTTTAATTATAAAACCAGTGATATCGACTATAAACTTGATCTCACAAAATTGTATATGGCTGAAATGTAGTAATAGTTTCTCACTCTCAACAGCCAATAAAAAAAGTGCTTGAAACTTCCTCTGCAGAGATTTTGCCTGAGCCATACCATGACCTATATTTAGGGAAGAAATCAGAAGAATAAAATTTAATCCATCAAACGAGAGAGGATCTACTGAATGCAAGGAATACAATTTCCATGTTGGCAAAACATTTGTAAAGCTAAAAAACCCGCAAACATGGAGGATTGGTAGGAAAACACAAAGGAATATCAGTGGGGTTAGATATTTGAGCTCTCTGATTTTTTCCCCCCTGAGTTGGATGAGAACCTATTCCTTGTTCAGATTGATGATAAGTTTTTGCCATTGCAAGAGCAAGGAAGCAGGTGCAAGTTATGAAAGAATCTGCTTTTTGAAATCTCTAGGTCATAGAACAGGAAGCCCAATGATTGTGCAGCCTTGAACTGTTTCTCTTTAGGCTACTACCAAATAGTAAGCCAGCTGCAGTCTGTACAGAGCAGTGATTACGAAGAGCCTTGGCAACTGGGAAAAAGCCAACCTGCAGTGAGTTGGGGGTGGTGCCATGAGCATGTGAGCTGCTGCATAGTCCTGATAACAATGATTACATATTTTGCAATATTATGTTGATGAAATAGGTCCTAAAAACATTTGAAAATACCTGCTTTAGCAGCACAGACCGTTCTGGAGCCTCCCAAATGAACTGAATTATGATTGGTTGAAAAAGTTTTGGCTTCCCAATTCAGTTCTCTTTATATTGGATTTATAAAATGAAGGCTAATGGTCTACTCTGCAGATTATTGTGAATTACATAGGCCCACAGGAATGTTCAGATCAGTCTCTAAATGCCTTTATCATACTTGATATTTTGTGTGTTATGTATTAGTTTACTTTTTACTTTATTAAGGTTTGTTAATATAATGCTTTTAATAATTTTCCTTTTGTCTTTTTGCCAAATTTGGTGTCCCAACTATATTAATTAACATTTAATTTTCCGTATGTTAAATTATCTAATATCTTTCTTCCTAGTTACTGTGTTATCTTAAACTTAATTTCTGCGTTGCCTTCATTTTTCATAAGAACATTTTAGAAATTGGGCTTTCACTACTAAAGTGATCCTATGAATAATAAATAGTATCAATAATATGTTAGACAGAAAACATTATAGACAGAAGAAACAGAAACATTAAATGTCATTTACAGAGAACCAGCCTGTTGTGTTCCGGAAACTGAAAAGGCCTGTACAACTATAACTTCGTGGTCAGAGAGAGAAGGGCACATAATGAATTGGGAAAGTCACACTGGGCCTCGGTCATGTAGTATCTTTAGGCCGCGGTAATTGCAGTTTCATGATTGCTCACTGCTGGTGTCCTGGAAGACTTTAAATTGTTTAGCCTTTAAAGGGAACGGGTGTTTGAAATAGTTAACGTTTTTATTGATTGATAGAAAAATTAAAACTTCAAACAAATGCTTTTATCACTAAAATGTAAATCTCTTAAAATAATTTAAACCGTGGTATCTATAGAATTCCAGAATTCTAACAGAATTGTTGAAAAAGTGAAGCTTAAGCCAGTCAGAGGAGAGATGGAAAGGTATCTCGCAGCTAAGGGGGCAAAATACTGCAACCTAACAGTGTTATCTTTGTATAATATAGATAATCACAATCTAGGGATTAAATGCTCTCTTTTCTACAATGTAATTGTTCACATGTGAAATTGACAAGGGTATAAACTGAAATTTGAGCAATCTGTAACACTGCTCTCTTCCAACATGCTCGGGAAGGGCATATCAGAACTTACAGGCAAATTAGAAATTTTGATTAAGTATATTCCTTCATAGGGTACAGTTCTGTTCCTTTAGAATTAATTTTTTTTTTACCTCATGAGAAACAATACCCTGTTCTCTCCACAAATATGTTTACATCCATTTTTTCAAAAGCCATTTCCAAGACTCAATTTTTAAACTCATTTTGTTGTTTATTCTTTTTCTTTATTTTTTTCTCTATTGATTAAGGTATTACATATGTGTCCTTATCCCCCCATTGCACCCCCACCCCCTGCTAATGCCCTCACCCCCCTGTGTCTGTGTCCATTGGTTAGGCTTATTTACATGCATACAAGTCTTTTGGTTGATCTCTCCCCTTTCCCCCCACCCTCCCCTGCCTTCCCTCTGAAGTTTGATAGTCTGATCAATGCTTCTCTGTCTCTGGATCTACTTTTATCAGTTTATGTTGTTCATTATATTCCACAAATGAGTGAGATCATGTGATATTTATCTTTCTCTGACTGGCTTATTTCGCTTAGCATAGTGCTCTCCAGTTCCATCCATGCTGTTGCAAATGGTAAGAATTCCTTCTTTTTTACAGCAGCATAGTATTCCATCGTGTAGATGTACCAGTTTTTTAATCCACTCACCTGCTGATGGGCACATAGGCTGCTTCCAAATCTTAGCTCTGATAAATTGTGCTGCTATGAACATAGGGGTGCATATATCCTTTCTGATTGGTGTTTCTAGTTTCTCGGGATATATTCCTAGAAGTAGGATCACTGGGTCAATTATTCAGAAGCATTGCATTTCTTTATTATGCTAATACTGGCCTTTTCTATTGAATTTTATGTTAGCGTGCATAATTTATAAATACTTATTAGATGTCTATCAAGTCCTTGTCAATATTGCTTAAACAGTATTTTTATTATTTGTAATTTTTACCCAAATTTTAAAGTTGGATTCTAAGGTATTAATGCCATATAGGCATTAATAGAAAGGACTACATGGAAAAGTAACTTAACTATTCTGTGTCTTTACAAAAGTATGAAAGAGGTCTAATTGCCTCCTTTTATAGCTATGAAAGGATAAAGGTGCAGAATTAAAGTGCTTCTGGCTCCTGTATCAATTATGTACCATTTATTACAAACTTATTCATAACTTTAGTTTGGTTCATCTTTGCCCCTTGTGTAAGTAAATTAGCTTTAGGGAACCAAAGGACAATGGTCCTAGAGAGTGTTCATTTGACGCCTTCCTGCTGAGGCAGGGTATGGACAGAAATACCAGAGAGAGTACAAGTGGATTTTCAACGTGTCTGGGTAGTACCTCTTCAAATGTCAGCAAAAGCACATTCAGGTTCTCAGATTTTCCCGTCCATTTGAACCCAGCACTGTATTAGCTGCTGGGAAATAGAAATAACATATACACAACCTGTTTCTTTCAAGTATCTCTCAATTTAGTAAGGAAAGCAATCAAAATACAAAAATAACATTTACAGAACAACATGATATACATTCTTGGTGCCCAATCCATCACTTGTCAGATGATATTAGTTCAACTTCAATGAAAAGCTTGCCTTGATTCATACTTTCTTTTAATAGCATTGATAATTTTAAGCTCAACATATACTATTAGCAATAGTTTAAAACAAGTAAATGTAAGTAAAATAAATACCTAGGTAACTAAATGAGAATAATTGTAACATAGATATAGATATAGATATAGATATATATTTTAAACACATAGACCACAAAATAGTAGTGAACTGTATATTTAGTGATATAGCCCACTGTGGAGTGTGGTTTTCTTTATTCCCCCAAATAGCCCAAGTTGGTAAAGTTTATTATAAAAACCTTCCATATAACATCAATATTTTAAGCTCATTGTCAGTTAAAAATATTGCTAACCTAAGAAAAGATGTGTTCCAGTATAAAGAGATAACAAAAGAGGCTGACAGAATTTAATCCTAGAGCTAATTAGAATTCAGTTGATTTTGAAGAAATAAATGAAGAATGAAAAAAATGACTTAAAATGAAGCCAAGTGAAGATAGAATGTGTGAGTTGAGACATGTGGACAGGAAGTTGATAGTAAGAAAGTAATAATTTGCTATTTAACACTTCTGATAGTTGAGAATAAACAATGATTGTCAGGACTAAGGACATGAATGCGCACGAACACACACACACACACACAAACACACACACACACACACACACACACACCTGAAATAAGGACAAAATAAACAAAGCTGTTAGAAATAAAACTTCACTGACAAGCTGAAAAAATCAGTACAAATGGAAACAAACCATTTTATTTTATGATTTCTAGTGACACACCTCCCAAATTTATTCCTCCGAAAAACTAGAAAGAGGGATATTTTCCTATAGTTCTAAGTATATCATTGTTTTTTACTGTTCATATATAAAGTTATGAAAACGAATATTGGATTAATAAATAGTCTCTGCCTTTTAAAAGGTCATGATTATGTACGTTAAATATACAGATACAAAATGTTTTCTATGACTAGGAACAGCTTAAGCCTGTGGCCACGTGGAGTACAGCATGCTGCACAATGTGAAGCTCTCTGCAATCCTTAAACAGGCAGACTTTCTGATCTTGGGAAGGTCCACATGTATGTCAAAGTGTATGATAAAGGATTTAATAAACATAAAAGTCACTGCTTCCTCCACCATATTGCACTTGATTGCAATCAGCATGTTACAGCCTCAGTCTAATTATAAAACATCAGATGTTTCATCAGCTTTTCTAGCAGAGCTCTGTGCTGCATCTGTGGTCACTGGCCCATTGAACATAAATTTTAAATTTTTTAATGTTTAATTTCAATCTGAATTGCACAGTTGATGCTAAACTATACCAGAATTAAAACTGCCTTGAAGATAACATGTTTGGGGAACTATTTTCAGGACATGATTTCCCAAATATCCCTTTCATTACTCATGCAAATAAGTAATACTTTTAAAAAAAAACCTTGTTCTGCTCACATTTCTGGAATTTTAACTCGTAAGGCAATAAAGAACACATCAAGGAAGTAACTGCGAGTTCATATTATTTACTGCTCTTGATGATATTTTTTAAAATATGTTTTTATTAATTTCAGAGAGGAAGGGAGAGAGAGATAGAAACATCAGCAATGAGAGAGAATCATGATTGGCTGTCTCCTGCACACCCTACACTGGGGATGGAACCTGCAACCTGGGCATGTGCCCTGACCAGGAATTGAATCATGCTCTCCTGGTTCACAGGTTGATGCTCAACCACTGAGCAATGCAGGTGGAGCAGAGATTTTGTTTGTTTGTTTGTTTGTTTGTTCTGGTTGTTTGTTTTAACAATACCCAAGTCTTTCCCATCTTTGCTTCATCACTTTATCTTCTATTGCAATCTTTAATGATCTCTATATATTTTTGTTCTCTTGCCTATTTTATCCACAAAAATGTAATGTAAATTCTTGGAGAGCAAGGACCTAGAGAGTCTTTTTTTTTGTAAGAGAACATTTATTTGTTAAATCATAGAGGTAGAAAAAGTAATTCCTAAAGGAAATGGGCTTAGGAAACAAGTTGTAGAGGTAAATGAAGGACCCTTGGAGCTTGGGAGTGAGTAAGCTAAAGGAGAAAAGGAAAGGCATGGACTTGCTCCAGGGAGGGAGGGCGCTGGTGAGTCTTTCTTATTCACTGCTGTCATATTGTAGGCTTTTAATAAATATATATTTAAATTGAATAACAAGTTGATATACTATCTAATAAAAGAGTAATATGCAAATTAACTGTCATTCTGCAACAAAGATGGTGGCACCCATAGTGGCCGGGGCAGGACGCTGGCAGCATTGCCCCAGCAACGCAAGCCCAGTGTCCCCAAGGCCTGGGACGCTGGGCTTGCCTCGCCCCCGGTGACACAAGCCCAGCGTCTGTGCAGAGAGAGGGGAGGGGCCCCGGCCACCACGCAGCAGGAGGTTGAGAAGCCTCGGGCCAGAGCAAGGGATGCATTGTAGGCCAGGCTGAGGGACTCCACCCCCCCCCCCCCCCGCAACGAATTTTGTGTACCGGGCCTCTAGTAAAGTAAAAGATAGAAATATATATATATACATATACATATATATATATATATATATATATATATATATATATATATATGCTTTTACTGATTTTTAGAGAGAGAGGAAGGGAAAGGGATAGAGAGATTGAAATATTGATGAGAGAGAAACATCAGTTGGCTGCCTCCTGCAATATCCCCTTCTGGGGGGCCAAAGCCTACAACCCAGGCATGTGCCCTCACCCTGCATCACATGTCCTTTCTTGGTTCCTTGGTCGACACTCAAGCACGGAGCCACACTGGCTAAGACAGAACTGTATTTTTATTTTATTTTTTATTTATTTATTTTTTAAAATATAGTTTATTGATTTTTTACAGAGAGGAAGGGAGAGGGATAGAGAGTTAGAAACATCGATGAGAGAGAAACATCAATTCAGCTGCCTCCTGCACACTCCCTACTGGGGATGTGCCCGCAACCAAGGTACTTGCCCTTGACCAGAATCGAACCTGGGACCCTTCAGTCCGCAGGCCAACGCTCTATCCACTGAGCCAAACTGGTTAGGGCAGAACTGTATTTTTAACAGATGAACACTTATCAACCACAACCCATATCCGCAAAAATGATTCTAGTTTTACTTATATGGAGTTTTAACACATTTAAACATAGCAAGAGTTAAGCATATATTTTTAGACAGCGGGAATTGTTGAAATGAACTGTCAAAACTTAAGTTACAGATATTAGTTACTTTGCATTTCTAATAGAGGACATGGATTTTCAAGTTGTCTTTTGGCTTGCAGACAATAATATCATTATGGTACCTATGTCCTATATTTCCAGTTTGATCATTATCTTAGAATTTCCTTGTTATTATCAATTTTTAAAAAATATTAGCTCACCCTTCTGAATGTAGACCTTAGCTACAGTTTTATGCAGTTTACTTGCTTTTTCATATACTGTTTCATTATGCATATTTGGCTGACTAAACATGAACATTTTTGCAAGCAAAATGCCAGTATAAAGGAACAGCACCCAATACCCAGTAAAACAGATTTTTCAGGATTCTTAATATCATTTAAGATACATCTAGAAAAACTGTCAATGTGCTGAGCAAATGACTATGGGTTTGATCTTAGAATTTGTTCCAGATAATTTGTTCACTGATTTCTTTATTTAGGAGCTCATTCCTGGCGGGTATGAGCACACATAATTTCTAAAAGCATGCTAAAATACATAAGTGTGTTGTGCTTTTCAAACAGCCAGTTTACCCTCTCAGGAATTTACATTTTCATCCCGCCTGAGAGATGCTGATTTCATCACTCAGTGCCTTTACTCATAAACATTTTGTGGTTCCTAAAAAGATGTGCTATACAAACTTTCAGCAATAATTTATGAAGAAGAGAAAGATTTCCAGCTTGTTTGAAAATAGAATGGCAATAAAAAAAATGCACCTGTAAACAGAACACATAAGGAGTGTGCAGGATGGTCTCCAAGAAACAATAACCATCCCCGGGGTGATGCCAGAGAGTGGCTGGAAGAGCTGTTTTTGCAGAGAAGCCAGGAAATAACCATGAAAACAATCCTCCAAACCCTGAATCAGCAGCAATTTTAGTCCTTGTTCCTGCAACTTACAAAGAGACTTTTAATAGCGCTGTGAGTCTACTGTAAGATCAACTTCTCCATCTACTGGCTGAAGGTCAAATCTTGATCTTTATTAGTTATAAAAATTCTGAATTTATTTATGTGTATGTGCATATGTTTTCCACAATGAACACATTATTAACTAAATGCATAATTTACTCTCTTTAAGTTATACTACAGTATGAATTGAAGGAATGCAAGCTATATCTTGAAAGCAATATTGTTACATTCAAGTGTAAATCAAGCTGACAATTTACATGTTATAAAAAGTTGTTAATTATATTATTAGCATGATTAAATACACTCTGTTTCTTAAAAAATATTATATCTGATTTGACTATTGAGGAATTTCTTAATTTACTGGCATGTAGGTAGGTATTCTCTACTTGTTCTCTTTTTCAGGCATTTTGATATTAAACTTTAGAGAACCATAATTTTTTTTATTTCATCTGTTTTTAAAACAGTACTCAAATTGGCAGATGATATTACCTAGATAATCTTAAACTATGACCTAGAAATCAGATTAGGAATTAATAGAACCCCAAAATGTAATGTTAACCATAATTTTGCAACATTAATTTAGTAAGAAAAGTTGTTTGGCAATCTGAAAATGGTGTTGAATACATGAGAGCATAAGGCAGACATTCCTCACAGCAAATTTACAAACCTTATTACAGAATCTGTCAACTACTTAGATGTTTTTACAAATTTCCTATACATATTATACCTCCCCTGTCCTAATGATATATCCTTCTTCTCACTAATCATAAGCATCTAAAACTAGATTGTCATTGTCTGACAATCACTGCCAACAAAAATAACTCCCACATTTTGTAGAACTCTTTTCTCACAGATATATGGCCATGCCAACTCTTATGATTTCCCTTTATTCTTCCAACCCCTTGAGGTGATTTATTGATTATTTCTTATAATATCTTATCACCACTTTATAGTAATTATCTAGAAGGCCATGGTTGGAAGTTGTTGTAACGGATTTCGAAATATTTTATTTCTGTTTATGTGGTCATAATGGGGTTGTTAATTAACACATGGTGTCTCTATAGTCAAGTGTTATCCATTGATAGACAAGATCTTCATCCCCATATATCTATTGTACTCCTTACCCCAACTCATACATAGAACTGGTTGATAAAATAGTGAAAATCGTCAACCCATGCTATCGTACATTTT